TGGAGTCCGGTCGCCGCTCAATTTGCCTCATGAGGCTCATGTCCAAGCCAGCGGCAATAAGGGCACGCAGAGCAGGCTGCCAGCCGGACATGCCCTACGAAAGTCTCGTGCAAAATTTAGGGATACCTTTGTTGACCCTTCCGACAGAGCCTTGCGGTTCCATGAGCTATGGCATCGGAGGTTCCGCTATGGGGAGACACTTAAGGGCTATGTGGTCTCCAACGTTTATCGGGGCAAGTCCGAGGAGGCGATTAAGCAGGAGACCGTCAAACATGTCATCATGAGCCTCACAACAGAGGAAGTCCGCCGATATGGGTACCTCATGGACCGCCTTTTGGAGGAGGTAGAGGAACTCCTCGGAAAGGACCCCAATTTAAACCGCGCGTCTCCGGTCAGTAGCCACCAGCGGACATGGGAGCCGCGAGGAGGTCAAAAATTCCAGCCTACGAGAGGCTCGACAGTACGCAGACCTACGCAACACCCACCAAAGCCTCAAAGCGATTCAGGTGTGTCAGTTTCATGTCCTGCCATTTATGCTTCATGCTTAGGTAGTAGGCCCTTTATATCCGTAGGTTTATGCAATAGATTGGTGCAATTTATGGTGGATACGGGAGCAGGTTGTTCTCTTGTGAATCCTCGCCGGTTTCCACGGCACGCGTTTGATCCGTTTCTTGTAACGTCTTCTATCAGAGTTCAGGCCGCTAATGGCACATCAATGCGCAGCGATGGGTGTATAGATGTGCCTCTTGTGATAGCAGGAAGCGAATATCAGCACACTCTTTATCTGTGCACAGATATGTCGTATGACGGAATACTTGGGTCCGATTTTCTAGATCGTTATGCGGGGGAATATAGTAGACCACGAGGTTGCTTACGCTTAGGTTCGCATGAGGTGCCCGTTGCGTACGAACAGAACAATGGCGACATTGCAGCAGTTACACCGCCGGTACACCCGACTGCGGAAGAGTTAGATATCTTGATAGGCACGAATGCACTCAAGGAAGGTTCAGATAGATCGCAGATTCGGAAGCTGATTGAAGAATTTGCAGATGTTTTCGCTTGAGATGGGGACGGCCCAGGCCGTACGAGTGTCATCCGTCATGACATTCACACAACAGAAACCCATCCCATTAGACAAAGGCCTCGTCGAATACCTGTGGCGTATCAGCAGGCAGTTGAGGAAGCTATCGAAGAGATGCTCCAGAAGAAAATAATAAAACCCTCCGTTTCTGCGTGGGCATCACCCATCGTGGTCGTCAAAAAGAAGGACGGCTCCATTAGGTTATGCGTAGATTATCGCAAGCTAAACGAAGTAACAA